TTTTTTTTTTTTTTTTACAAATCATCGTTGTCGTGGACACTGCTGGACGTCATGATTGATCCCTCGATTACCTCGTTGAATCAAATTCTCTTTTTATTAATAAAGCAATTGTCGAAAAATTTGTTTTTTTTAATTAAAGGATTTTTTCAAAAGTCTGGTCTCTTTATTGATATTTTTATTAAACCCTTATGTGAATGGGTAGGGGTACAAGTACCCCTTACTCATTCACAAGTGGGAGGGCCGCATCTGGGTGTCCCTTTATTAAAAGGGTACCCCAATGCAAATAAGCACCCCCTTGTCCCCATCAGCACAGGGACAAGGTGCTTTTCCAGGGAGGACCCTGGAAAAGCACCCTCCCAGTGCCGAGGGCATGTGGCCTGGTATGGCAGGGAGTGGGGTGCTCGCTTGTCCCCCCTTTTCCTGCCTTTCCAGGCCTGTGCTCGGATTAAGGGTCTGGTTGGGAATTTAAGAACCTAAAGGGCCTGTATGACTTTGGGGGGGAAAACTACACTTTTTTTTATTTTTAACTTGGTGTCCCTCCTAACATTCCTACCAGACCTAAAGAGCCTGGTATGGATTGGTACGGGGATCCCACACTGTTTTTTAAAATTCTTTTATTAACTTGTCTTTTTTTATTCTGCTCGCTACCTCGGAGGTAACAAGCAGAATAGCCGCATGCTGCTAGGTGGCATTCGGCTATTCACTCACTGCCGTTCGGCCCCTATGAAAATAGGGGCAAAAGGCAGCATGTTAACTGCTGGAGCTTCAGCTTGGCCGATCCAGATGTTGAATTGGCTGGCTGAGTCAAACATCAATGATCAAATGTCATGGGTGCATCCTGTATTAAAAGTAAACTTAATAAACATATTAAACTAAAGATTGTATAAAACAAAAAGCTATATAAATGTCATTTTAAAAATAAAAACTGCAAACTAAACAATTAAACAAATAAAGTTACATTTACCCCAAACTATAATGGTTTTCCTTTAAAGTGACATTAAACCCTTAGATTTTTTTAACATAAAACAATACTGTAATGTGTGCCTTACTGTAATCCATGGTTGTTTCCCTTCTCTCTGCTGCTCTTCCTTTTAAATCCTCATGTCTTCTCATGCTGGGCAGAACTTCTGTTTTGCAGCAGACTGCCTTGTCTCTGGAATGGATACCTGGTGTCTGTGTGTTGGTTTGAAACCTGAGCCAGCACTACAGGAAGAGGCACTCAGCTGCAAAGGGAAGTCCTCCCCCAGCATGAGAGGACATGAGGATTTAAAAGGAAGAGCAGCAAAGAGAAGGGAAACAACCATGGATTACAGGAAGGTACACATTACAGTATTGGTTTATGTTAAAAAATCTGAGGGTTTAATGTTACTTTAAGTATATCAGAGCACACCATGAGTTTATTAGTTAACTGATTTGGTGTCCCACATGTACCAATTTTGTCCCTGGCAGGATGCCTTATTATCTTCCTAGTAGGGTGCCCAATGTGCCAAGCACATCTGCTCTATGTGTTCTAAGCACATAACTGACAGACTCTTATGTGCAGTTAACAAGTCCCTGGCAGAGTGTCTCGTGTGCACAGCACATATGGCCTTCATCCTACCTCAGCAGCACATTACATGAGACTGGATTATGTTTATACAGATTTTAGTACGTCGGCACTGTTCATTTTACTTAGCTCACAATCATTTTCTCATCACATTTTCCGCTCGCAAACAAAATATCTCTTGGGTGTGGAATTAAAAAATTTTTGGCATGAGATTTAAATATTGAAAGCTTTTAATTCTCAAGAATTGGAATTTTATCTCATGAAACCTGATTTTATCTCCACCTCGAAAGGCTCCATTTTCCGCTCTTCTCAAAAAAACAACACTGAGAGGTGCAGAGATGATCAGTGATTAAAGTACCCTAACTATTAACAAAAATGTATCAAGAAAGATACATTTTTGTTAATAGTTAGGGTACTTTAATCTTTACCTCCTGAGTTTAAAGTCATTTTAAAATACAATTATCTTCTAACTGATTGTGATTGTGTTGTTTTTTGTTGTTTCTTGTGTAACACTGGGCTGTAGATTCTCAAATTGTTTCTGAATTGGTGCTGACACTGTCCTTCTTTCTGGAGGGTGGCTACTTTTGTTCCCCATGGTAACTGTGTGTGTTGTAAAGTGGCCATGGCTCCAATCTTGCTCCCATGATGGACTATAACTTCAGTACAAATTAGTAAACTGTCTGCACCAGTTTAGAGGCTCTACAACTGAGTAATACACAAATAAGATACATTTTTGTTAATAGGGTACTTGAATGCATTTTAAGATGTAACTCCTGAGTTTAGTGTCACCTTAGTGGGGAAGGGTTAGAACTTCTGTTTTAATTGCTGCATATGCTCCTATTGGGGAGATTTACCACTCTGTGAGGGTAAAGGGGTGCATAAGTGATCAGCAATGATAAAAAGATGCAGTGGTGATCAGTGATGATACAGAGGTGCCATGGTAATAATCAGTGATGATAAAGAGGTGCAGAGATGATCAGTAATGATAAAGAGGTGCAGAGGTGATCAGTGATGATAAAGAGGTGCAGAGGTGATCAGTGATGATAAAGAGGTGCAGATGTGACCAGTGACGATGAAGTGGTGATAAGTGATGATAAAGGGGTGCAGTGGTGATCAGTAATGATAAAAAGATGCAGTGGTGATCAGTGATGATAAAAAGATGCAGTGGTGATCAGTGATGATAAAAAGATGCAGTGGTGATATTGAGAATTTGGAGTCTAAGTGATACCCTTTATCAGCTTTAACTTATTAAATATGTAAGCTTTCGGGACTCCTTAGATCCCTTCGCCGGGCTTTATACATCCACATTTTCTGTGCCACCCAGATTCCTGGAAAGATTCCTAGCACACATGCTGTAGGAATCGCTACTTCTACTACAGCTCGTTTCAGGGAACTTGCCCACAACAAAAAAGATTTCCTCGCACGCAGCTAAACACAGAATCACGTGTGCAGACGTAGCCTTCCTCACTAATAACAACGCTGAACACGCCTTCCATTCTCCATTCGTTGATTCCACAGTAGCACCTCCTTCACTTAAATACGATTGGTGATGTTTGTAGCCTTGGCTGGAAGTTGCGGTTTGATTGGTTGGTGCCGGAGAGTGGGCGGGGTGAAGATGTTTGTGATTGCTGTGTCTTCCTGTTCACTCATGCTGTATGCGGCGCTGAGGCCGCTGCGGGACTTTCGTTTCCTGCTCTTCGCCATGATGAACAAATGAACTCGCGGGGAATGAAATTTAAATTCCAAAAAGGGGAGAAAGTTCTGTGCTTTGAACCAGACCCTACCAAGGCTAAAGTGTTGTACGATGCCAAGGTGCGGTGCGGGGGGGCTTGTAGGGTCTGCCATTGGAATCCCCTGCACCTGGCAGGGGGTGATCTGTATTGTCATAGTTGTCTCATCATTGTACATCCTTGTGTGTGATGTTTCATCATGGTGTGCTGGGTGGTGTGCATTGTCTGGTAATACAGGACCAGTGGTAGCCCTGATTAGTGGTGGGTGGCTATGTAGGTCACTGATGTACAAAGGAAATTCGGGCCCCATTCACACTAGAGTATGAGCATGTTTGAAGTGTTGCTGTTACCGTAGTTACTAGGCGGAGGGGATGGTTGTGGGCTCAATTTATCCGAATCTGGAGCATTTCCCCATGGCAACCAATCAGCTTCTCTCTTCATATTGTTCAAATAAGATTTGAAAAAGAAATGTAGAAGCCGATTGGTTGACATGCACAGCTGCTCCAGATATTTTGTCTGCTCCAGTTTTGATATATCCCCCTCTGTGTTTTTCAGGTGCTCCCATAAAGTATATACAGGACCCAAAATGCGCAATTCTGTTCGGGAAAGTTTGTTTTTTGAGCTACAACGCTCAGGTGTGAGTAGGGATCATTGAAATGAATGGGATTCTTCATGTTGAGCATTATGACGCTTCAGTAAAGCTGCAACACATGCTGAAGGGACTTAGGCTGGATGTAAACCACATGCGATGACATGTATTTTAACCTGTTGTGTTGGAGTGTTGTGTTTTTTTTTTTTCACAGCAGAAGCCAACATACTTTAAAACTCATCACACACTTTACAATCTGGTTGTACAATCTCCTTTAAATCTACCAGTAAGCATGCAGTGCAAGGACCTGATTGATTGGATGGACTAGGCATGTCCTCATACTACATAGGTTTAGTAAATCTAAAGTTGATTGCACAGAGATTGTATGGTCAGATTGTAACGTGTGTGTGGTGACTATAAGGGTCATATTGATAGGCTGCCAAGTCAAACACTGTTTTACGTTTAAACATTTCAGCTGTGTTGGCATGGAAAATGACAAGGAAAGGCAGCATTTGACCTGCAGTTCAAACGTACCCTAATAGGACATGTTGCATTTGCATTGGTCAAACACCACCTCTGCACTGCCATGTGTACTGCTCAGTTAATGTCAATGGCATATTGCTGGTGTTTTTTCCAAACGCACGTCAATGCAGGAAAACCGCACCTGTGAACATGAGCACGTATCTTGTTTTCCATGAGGTGCACTGCAGTATCATGTGATGTATTATTGACGCTTTCCACTGCTTTTAAAGGAGAGGTATTGGAAGAGTGAAATGCACTCATCCCCATAGTTTGAACTGGCTTGGGATTAAACGGCTGATCACTCAGCTCACGGCTTCTCCCTGCAGAGAGCTGTGGTCATGGCTCCACGCAGGGATTCCCCCCTTACCTTTTTGTTCCTCCAGTGTTCATTGCAGGGAAAGGGAGGAGGAGGGCACAGCTGGTTCTGGCTCTAGAGAGGCAGAGCCAGCTGTCTATCTGACAGCAGGATGGATCCCAACAATATTGTCAGCGTTCCTCTGCGCTGTCAGCATGTAGTGGGCCCGCTAGATGCTGACGTTGTGTCACAGGAGGACATTAATAAATATGCTCCTTTGACCCAAAAGAGAACTAAAGCCAGGAAAAGGTTAGGCTTTAGCGCTCTTTTAAATGCAGCACGTTCCATTTTTACTATGTATAAGGCCTTTTGGAAACACTGGATTTCAGCTCGGTATTGTGTTGACTTGCGTTGAGTAATTCAGCTCAACAGGCGTGGTGTGAATGGGCCCTAACTAAAAGGAAGAAGGTATCTGGTTACTATACATAACATCTCTACCCCTCACTACAGCCTTGGGAGCTAGACATTGGGTTACAAGAGTCGATCAGCTGTTCATTCACGATATCTCGCCATGGGGCGGGGGGGGGGGGGGGGGGGGGGGTTACGGCAAGATCTGGATACTAAGTAGGCAGACTCTCCATTGTAATTGTTTCCAAATGTGACATCATGGTCTCGGGTTATAATATGAGACTGCAGTACAAATTTCATACTGCATTTTTATTTAATTCTGTAGAGGTACAGGTATTTGGTTATTTAGGGTCAGCCTGTAGCTAGTACAAAGATTGTGGGCCCCTTAACTTATTATTAGATGGTTCTGTAGTGTCTGGACATCAGGTCCACTTACAGTTGTGATTTTTTTTTTTTTAAATGTGTCTACAGCTTTGAAACCTATAATAGCCAATGCCAGTTAGCAAATTAACAAATAACACACCCAGCTGCTTATTTTGGAGTGATCACATTTTGGTAAGGGTTAGTTCACACCATATGCAGTGCGTTCCAGTCCAATTCTGGCATTTTTTTGAAGTGAATGGCACCGTAGCCAAGCCCTCCGGCCGCAATACAATCGCCCGCGAGGGATCGCAAGGCACATTGTGCCTGCAGTCCGGTCTGGTGTCAACAAGGGTTTGAATGCCCTCATATAGGAGGATTGGTGTTCAGGTGCTGAATAGGGACCTGATCATTAAAGGTTACTCTGTGCAACAGCTTTATTGATGTCTTGGTCCTTTCCTAAAATTCACCAGAGGGTTCCAGAAAGGATATTTGCCTCCGCTGTGATTATCCATTTTAACCAATGATATTGCTTCTGCATTCTTATTGGAAACCTAGCCCTGTTTCTCTACGATGAGCTGTCCAACAAGCCGGCTACAATTACTTTAAAATATCAATGAGTTATCATTTATCCATACATTGTTTTTTATGAAAACCAATCTCGTACCATTTTTTTAATGAATTAACAAGACTTTTTATTTTTGTCTGTATGATTTTGTTTAGGTTGTTGATGTTGTTATTGGCAAAGATGACAAAGGCAGAAAAAATCCTGAGTATCTGATCCACTTTAATGGTTGGAATAGAAGGTAGGTTTTATCTTGTGCAAGATGCACTTTATTTTAGTATTTTACATTTAGAGGCTCCCCATGTTCTAATTTTAACAGACTTTCGCCAGATCATTTAACAACAATCATCCCATGAGATTATATGCACACTTAAGACATTTGCCTGTCGTATCCCCTTATTTGCAGACTTTCTAAAGGCTTAAGACTTGCTGCTGGGCTCCAACATCATGGATATGTCCGCACCACCAGCAGACTCGGAGCCCTCACTCAAATTACACTCTGTAGTACTTCCCTTCACTCCTCCACCCATCAACTATATGAAATGTTATGCAGGGAGTTAAAGAGAGGGCTGGAGCAGCTAGGCCAACATAGACAGTAATTGCACTCCCAGACAGGGCTATGACGTGCAAGGAGAGAGAAGCTTGTGGAAGGGAACTGACTTAACCTTCCTGGCGTTAATCCCGAGTGTGGCTCGGGGTTAATTTTCAGTACCAAAAGCGGTAACCCCGAGCCACACTTGGGATTACACTGTGCTTGACTTACCTTGTCCACGAGCCCCGCTGTGTTTTCCGGCCGATGCCGGCATCCGTCTTCCGTCCCTTGCGAGCGCCCACGGGAAATTTAAAAGTGAAAAAAATAAACTGAGATTGTTGCAGCTTCCTACCGGTTTCTGTTCTGAAAAATAAGCAGTTTGTTGCATATGCTTTCCAAACGCATTCCTGAATAGGAGGGTTTGGGTTCATTATAATCAACTGGTGAGCATCCTGTGTTGTAATTGGGAAAGGTGCAGTGTCTGCATCCCTTTAGTAATAGCCCTAAGGACAGGTTCACATCATTTTCTGGACCAGATCTGGAACGCAGGTGAGTTCCAGTGCTTTTGCATGCGCCTGTGTGTGTTTAAAGGAGAACTATGAGATGAGTGATTTCCACTCACCTCATAGTTCTAGCCGACCTGTGACAATGAGACTGTCACAGGTCGGCTCAGTAGATTGGGAGGTGAGCGAACACATACCGGGTTCGCTCATCTCTCGATCCTGTCACGGCTCTCTGCCGTGACAGGGGGAGGGGCTGGATTCCCCTCTCTCCGATCTGCCAGCGCTGACTGGCGGAACGGACGGGGGAGGGGGCGAGTACAGCTGGCTCTGCCTCTAGATAGGCAGAGCCAGCTGTCACTCACGCAGCTGGGCGAATCCCGTCATCTACGTCGGGATCCGCTCCGGCTGCGGCGTCTCAGTATATCGCGAGCTGTAGCTCGCGGTATACTGAGCTTATGGTAACGGGAGGACGCTAGTTTGTGTCCTCCCGTTACCCTAAGGAGAACTATGGGGAAAAACACTGACCCCATAGTTCTCCTTTAATGCGTATCAATGCTTTCCAGTGCATTCCAGACCCGAGAAAATGGGACGAGCAGTATTTATTTTGTCTGGTCCGGAATGGACTGCACTGGTGTGAACAGAGTCCAGAAATACCTTCGTGATACATTGGGATGCTTTTTTGGTCCCGGAACAAACTGTTCTGGTCTGGACATGATCTGGACTTCGTGTGAACAAGCCCTTGGGGAGTATCTCACCAGAAATGAAATTCCTATCACAAGGGATGCCAAAAATTATACTTGTGTCTTGGTGCAGACTTCTGGGAAAATCGGTTATTGTTGCCACATGTAGTATTTTTATTTTGCTTCTCTTTTTGCTTTTTCTTTCCAGCTGGGATAGGTGGGCAGCAGAAGACCATGTTCTTCGGGATACTGATGAAAATCGTCGATTACAAAGAAAGCTGGCAAGGAAAGCTGTAGCTCGCATGTAAGGATTCGCTCTAGGTAGACGCTAGCAGCTGCTACATTTCCAAACTCGTGACTGTAACCTATTTTGTACTAGATTCATCTCTATTCAAATTATCTCTTTGAAGAACTCCTTTTTAAAAATTAACCCTTGCAGTGGGGCTACCCCTGCTGCACTACAAGGGTTAGGTGCTCGTTTTACCTGATCCTCAGTCCTGCCGCAGTCAGCGCTCACTTCTCTTCCCCCCTCTGCTTCGGCTGTGTTTTGTCCCCCGGTGTCCTCACTTTTAATGCACCTGTATTCGATGTGATAAAGACATGGGTCCATAGACCACTGGCGCCTAGGGGAGAAGAAAATGTGGGGACCGTACTAGCAGTCAAGTGGGACAGAGGGTCAGGTGAATATATTTTCTTTATTTTTGCCCCAGATCAAGCACTTAATCCTTGTAGTGTGGGGGTAGTCTCACTGCAATGGTTAATTTGGAAAAATCCTGGAGTTCCGCTTTAAGCCTTCTGTTGACTTTGGTTTGCTTGAGCAACTGCTTGCTTATTAAAGTGAAACTCCTGGTAAAAGTAGATTTTAACCATATGTTTTACTTTTTGTTTTTTTCCTGCTGAAGTATTTGTAACGCATGTCTGACGCACTGCACAGCCAGGAAGATCTAGATATTTTCTGTTGCAGTGTTTTTTCCTAGATCACCTCCCACTAATTGGAGAGAGGTGATGATGCTGATTCCTTTTTCAGTGACCAAGCTGGAGGTAGAAATGTATTGCCTTCCTGCTGTAGTGTGGTTAAGTTACATTGAGGACATCTCCCCACAAGGACCCCAGTTCTTGTATATTGTTATAGCTGTAATTCTAAACGTTCCTTGCTTACCTTTCTGCTGATTAGACGTGTCTTGCATCATGCTAAATTCCCCATGTATGCCATGTAGGAAGAGTGTTCATCCTATCAAGGGCTTTATTTGAGTTTGACCTGGTCTAATAAATCCACACAGTAACTAACTTTAGTGCTGAACAGCAAGCGTTGTGTGTGTGCCTTTTATTCTTCAACAAAGCCCAAACTTCTCTCATGCTTAAGTTTAAGTCCTGTCTCTAACATTCAGCTGTCCAATGCTAGAACCTTTTGTACCCACTTAGCCTGTGGCATTTGATAATTGAATTGTAGGGATTGGGATTAGTGCAGAAAATAATAGAAACTAGTGCAGATTAATCTCTACTTTAAGAGGGGGTCATTGTTTCTACTCTAGGCCTGGGATCCAAGGGACTCTATGGGTATTGCTCCATGACTCCATGGGTATTGCTCTGAAACCTAACAGAGTTGGTGGCAGCTCTCGTCTATTAAAGAACGCAAGGAATTTCTTTATTAACCCTTGCAGTGGGGGTTTTTTTTTCTAGGTGCTAAAATACCAAAGTTATACTCGCCTGAGGCTCCGAGCCGGCCACCTGTCACAGCGCTCCCTCCAGCCTGTGTCCCCCTCCCTGCAGCATTGAAATCTTCCCCAGCGTCCTTGTGTCTATATACATTGTATAGAACGTGATGAATTAGTGGAACTTAGACTGCTGCAGGGGATGGAGAGAGATGTTGGCAGAAGAAGCCAGCTCGGAGCTTACGGTGAGTATCATTTTGTTATTTTCGAGCCTAGACACAAACCAGCATTTAACCCTTGCAGTTCGGGGGTAGCCCCACTGCAAGGGTTAATAATAATAAAAAAAATCTTGTAGTTATTTAAAGTAGTATTAAATGATCCATGTTTTTAAAATATCATTTTAAAAATTTTTTTTAAACATGTATAAAGAATGTGTTGCTGCAATGTTCACCACTGCGGTTCTAGGTCCCACAGCATAGATTTCCCCGACTTCTGAGTATTGAAGCGTGCACCCTGTGCCCTTTACATGAACAGTGCACTACTCATAGCGCAGGCTCAAGCATCTGTGAATCGCTTGGGGCCCGGACTGTCTGTTTGGATGCAGTCTAGAGAATCCTGTGTCGGCATCTGGGAGTGTGCATACAAAGGTGACTGCATGGCACTTTGCAAGGTGACAGAGCCACCCGATAACGGAACCCAGGAAAGGGGGCATTTGGAGAAGAATTAAAAGCGAAGTGATGCTTAGGAAAACTGACATACACAAATGGCAAGTGCTGATGATATATATTTATCTTTTTTTAATAGGGTTTAATTTCCTGTTATGGGGTTTTAACACAGTGCCTTTTCTGGACTGAAATAGCAAGAATAGGTGTCAGCCCTGCCCAGTTGTAGTTTGCTAGGCTACAGGAACCCTCTCCCTTTCCTCATTGCCAACATAGGGGGGCTATGAAATTCTGACATGATCACTAGGTATTTTTTGCACTTGTCAAACAGATATATACAGCTGAAAGTACTTTTTATATGTAGCTGTACACTACATAAGGGAACGAATTAGAGCAATTCATTGTTTGGACCCAAATAACACTTCAATAGCATTTTACTAACAAGCCGCTAGATCCTGTCACACTGCGGAGTGCTAGGAAATTGTATGTTTGCCTTTAGCAATCGGACTGGTTATTTACTTTCCTAATGAAAAAAGATGAAATCTAATTGGTGTCTGTGAGCAGTTGCTTCATATTTCCTCTAGATTTCCTGGTTTCAAGAAAAGCTTCTTCAGCTGTTTGCAAATAATTTTCTAGGGACAATGACAAAGGTCTTTCGAACGGTGCAATAACTTCGTTTTCTATTAGTAGTTGGTCACATTCAACTGGCCTTGTCCTGTGATGTTGAAGATATTTCACAGCTTATCCAAGCTACTTATTTTCTAATGAATGCCAGGAAGATACCCCAGCATTTATATCCACATAAGTGGCACAGTCCCCCTACTTCTACGCCCCCTGCCCCATTCGTTCCTCTATTCAGCGCTGGATGATCGGAGCTGGGAGGGGGGAATCCCAGCAGGGAGCCGTGAGTGACTGTCACGGCTCTCTGCAGGGACAGTATCGAGAAGTGAGCGAGCAACGGTATATGTTCTCTCACTTCCCGATCTACTGAGCCGACGTGTGACATTTTCATTGTCACACGTCGGCTCGAACTGTGAGGTTGAGTGAAAATCACTTGCCTCATAGTTCTCTAGGATTTGAAAATGAAAGAGAGAAGCTGATTGGTTGTCATGCACAGCTACTCCAGTTTTGATACATTCCCCCCAAAGCATTGTATCATTTATAGATTGTATGAACTATCACCTGAAATTTTAGTAGTGTTTTGTACTGAAAGAGATGTCTTCATAGGAGAAGAAAGGGAAGAAAGAAGAGGCGGTGCAGATTGCCTGGGGTCGACTCTGTTTTAAAAAGTTTTCCTGGCAATGAAAAAGAAGACAATGATGATAATTGTAAGTGTGCTGCTGTGATCCTGACATTTGTTGTATTCATTCTTTAACCCCTTCCTGACCGATGATGGGATTATTCCATCATGCACTCTGTTTATTAACCACTTCAAGACCAGGTGTTTAGACCCCCTTCCTGGCCAGGCCATTTTTCAGTATTCAGAGCTGCGGTACTTTGATTGACGTTTATTCCGTCATGCAACGCTGTACTGAAATTAATTTTATACCATTTTTTGGGGACAGATAGAGCTTTCTTTTGGTGGTATTTAATCACTATATTAAGGAAAAATGATTGAAAATTTTTTGGGGAATTATTTTTTTCATTATATTAGGAAACAATGATTTATTACCCATATTTTTGGTAAAATATAAAAGACGGGGTCACGTCGGGTAAATAGACACCAAACATGTCATGCTTTAAAATTGCGGGCACCCGTGAAATCGCAAATAACTACCATACCCAAAATTGACCATAGGCGACGTTTTAAAAGCTTTTACAGCTCATCAGTTTCGTGTTATCAGTGATTGATGGCCCTAGAACTATTGCTCTCATTGCGACGTTCGCGACGATATGTAACATGTGCGGCGAATGGGCAAAATTGTTGTTTTCGCACGTATGCGCACCCGACGCCTGTTTGCATGCGTGTATGTATGGGGGGGTGGAGTTTTTAAAAAAAATGTTATTCTTTTTTTATTTGTAACTTTTAATTTTTGGGGGGGAAACTTAAATTTTTTTTCCACTAAGGGGTCTAAGAAAACCCCCTTGTTTCCTGCTCGAGCGCACCCAGCGGCGCGCGCGAGGGGTCGTGGCTGAGCAGACGTCTAAAGATGCCCGCTCAGATCTAGAGAGCTCCTGGCCAGCTGCGGCCACAATAGACCCCCACAACTAGGGTCCAGGGAGCCCCACTGACCACCAGCCTAAGGTAAGGTGACATTTTGAAAATAAAATTTTTAATGTTTTTTTTATTATTTTATGTTCCCGGGACATTTAAAAATGTCCCGGTAACATAACATAAAACTTTTTTTTTTTTAATACTCACCTGATCTGATCCACCGACAAGCGCAGCGCAAGGCTCTCACGCTGTCATTATATGCATACAGAGCGTGACGGTTACTGTTTAAACCGGCGCGCTGTGTGCAGCTTCTGAGAAGATACGCTATTAGCGTAGCAGGGAGCAATGCAAAATAATTAATAATAGCGTATCTTCTCTGAAGCTGCACACAATTCCCGTCACGAAGGGGTTAAAGGGTTATTAAACCCTCTGGCTTTTTTGCATATATATGAGGGTAGCAAGCAGTAAATATATGCAAAAAGTTGAGAAAAAAAAAAAGCTTAACAACGGTTTAAACTTACCCCGTCTTTGCTGCGCGCTCCCGTCCGAAAATCCAAAGCATCTTGGGGCGGGCGCACACGCAGTTCGGCCGGGGGACGAGGAGAGACACAAGGTAAGTCTATGGACGCGTGCACTCGCATGCAGACACCGTGGGACAGGAAGTGCCAGCAAGGACAGAGGAGTCGGCACTGGATCGGAGACCTGCCGCAGTGATGGAGAGAAGGCTGAAAACATCAGGAAAGAAGATCGGATAAGGAGACATCAGTTAAGGTAAGTGCTGACATTTACATTGGGGGTAGGGAAAAAGAATTGACTTTAATGCCACTTTAACCACTTCCGGGCTGCAGTACGTCTATATACGGCGGCCCGCAGAAGTGGTGAAAGGAGAACTATGAGGTGAGTGCTTTTCACTCGCCTCATAGTTCTAGCCGACCTGTGACAATGAGACTGTCACAGGTCGGCTCAGTAGATCGGGAGGTGAGCGAACACATACCGGGTTCGCTCGCCTCTCGATCCTGTCACAGCTCTCTGCCGTGACAGGGGGAGGGGCTGGATTCCCCTCTCCCCGCTCCGATCTGCCAGCGCTGACTGGCGGAACGGACGGGGGAGGGGGCAGGTACAGCTGGCTCTGCCTCTAGATAGGCTGGGCGGATCGCGTCATCTGAGTCGGGATCCGCTCCGGCTGCGGAGTCTCAGCTCGCGGTATACTGAGCTTAGGGTAACAGGAGGACGCTAGTTTTGTGTCCTCCCGTTACCCTAAGGAGAACTATGGGGAAAAACACTGACCCCATAGTTCTCCTTTAAAACAAGAACACGGCTGCTTCGGCAGCCGTGCTCTTGGTACTGCTTTTAACAGCAGGCGATTGCTGTGTAACTTGCAATCGATCTGGTGTCTGAACAACCGCCGGATCGTTTGTACCGTGTGACGCCCGCAGCGGCCACTGGGTGTCCCCGCAATGATTAGAGAGAGATTCAGCGAGCCCCAGCCGCTGATCTCTCCTCCGATCACTGGACCCGGAAGTGCTGTGTATTACATCACTTCCGGTGTCACTGTACACAGGCTCTTAGAGCCAGGACAAAAAGCTGGCAAAGCAGATCTCGGCTTCCTCAGCTTGTTTGGGGTCTCTAGGTGACATTAGGGGTCTGAAAGACCCCTGATGGCTCCATAAAGAGGACCTACCTATCACATCCCATCTGCTATTACACAGGGTGCTTTTTAGCCCCCTATGTAATACCAATCGGATTATTGTACAAAAAAAAAGTGTTTAAAACTTAAAGTAACATAAAAAAATGTGAAAAAATATGTTTAAGTCCCCCGCCCCCCAGATACACACACGTCGGAGCGCCTACGTGCGAAAAATGACAATTGTGCTGCACATGTTGCATATTGCCTCAAACGCACAGTGAGAGCAATAATGCCATTTTTCTGCCAATACAGCAACGCATCACTGCTTTCTTTTCTCCCCGCTGGGCGCTTCTGTGTGTCCCAGCGGGGAGGATAGAAAGTGTAAACCGGCCAAGCGCTGCGGGAGAAAGTTTTTTTTGTGTTTTTGTTTTTTTTTTGGGGGGGGGGGTCTGGTCCCCAACAAAAAATAATCTTGCACCAGGGCCCTTTGTTCCTTAGGTCCGCCACTGATTGTGTCCCTGTATTCACTTCAGCAAATATCACTGGTGTTCGGTCATGTACCTTCTTTATTCAATGCAGATCCTGGTGCTCTGTTACTTGCTTTCAGTAGCGTCCAGTTTGGTACATTCTGGTGCCAGGAATAGCAATAGTGCTCAGTGTTTGATTTGTTCTGCCTGCAATTAATGGGTGCTCAATACAAGGATGGGGGTTTATAACAGCCAATTAGCTGGAGGGGGTGCTCTTGCCCCTTCACACGCATACGTCATGGCTTCTCTTCAGTGTGGTAGCTGCACCGATCTCTGATAGCAGATTTTGCCTGATCTAAGTTCACCTTTCCAGGCTTCCAGGAGGTGTGGAAGATGTCACTGTGCTGCAATTAATGTTGTCGTATGCAGTTTTAAATGACACTATTTGAATGCACATTCTAACGTAACTGGGCCTGGTCATCATTTATTAGGGAGCTGTTAAAACAAAAACCTAAAAATAGGAATAAAGGAGTGTTTTTTTTTCATAATATATTTTTAGAAACCTTTTGGAGCTTTTGATATTTTCTGTTCAGGTATGTGCCAAATAATGGTGATCCTAATTTATAATCTGCATATTATGTTTATTCATGTGCAAATTCTTCTTTGAAAATGTTTATGCTAAATGTAAACCTCTTCCAGAGAGCATAGTCCTGAATGTTTATGTTCTGTTGTGCAGTGCTGAGAGATGAAAGTATGTATTAGACAAACACTTGAGGTAACCAGTCACTAAATTTGTCTCATAGCACTAAGTAGTTCATCAGAGGACAGCGACGAAGGGACGGATGTAGAAATCAAAAGTGAAGAAAGTGAGTTTGAAGAAAAAGCAGAAATGGTATGTTCTTTTTATCTCTGCTTTCTATTGAGAAACTAGTCATATAATGCGATCGTTTCTATTTTGCTTTTTAGACTTAAGTTGATATAAATAGCATCTTTACATCATGTTATCCTCAGATCTACAATAATGTTGTCTAAGTACTAGTGCAAAAGTTGTCAAAATAGCAAACATTTACCATGCATTGGTCAAACAGACAAGCAAGTAGTAGATTGGTAAAGTTTGCTGTCACAATGTCCACAAACCCATGGGAGCAAAGGGTGAAGGGACAGAGAGGGGATTCCACAGGTCTAAGGGAGGGGGGGATAAAGCAAGGGAAGATGGACAAAGTGAAGGACAATAGACATCTGCAGGCACAATGGAATCTGAAGGCAAAAGTTGTCCAAACCAGGGGGGAGGAAATATACGGCCCTTGGGAACCACACTGTAAAGTATTTATGCATCTTGTCCACCAGCCTAGCCACTGTGGACCTAGTTTCAACTATTTATTATAGGTATTTATATAGGGTTGTTGATTTACTCAGCACTGCTGTACATTCACATCATTCCCTGACCTCAAGGCGCTTGTAATCTAAGGTTCCTATCTTGCCTACATACATGCCAAAACATACTAGGACTGATTTAGACTGGAGCTAGTTAAGCTGCCAACATGTCTTTGGAGTGTCGAAGGTAACCAGAGTACTTGGAGGAAACCCAAGCAAGCACAGGGAGAACATGCAATCTGCATTTAGTGTCCAGACTGGAATTTGAACTGGGGAGACCTTAGTGCTGCAGGGCAGAAGTGTGATACAGGTCCTTGCTTTATTTAAAGTTACTTTTCAGCTGTGAGGACTTTTGTAATTTCAGAAGGTCTGGTGGTCTAACATTGAGGAGCACATACACTGCAATCATGTATGATAGTTACTCTAGTTAATCTGGTAAATGAAAGGTCTGTATGAAGGTATACTTCATATTCAAGTGGGAACAGGAGTCTCTTACCTTGTATGCTCAACTGGGCCTAAAAGTTTTATAGGAGTGTCTGCAGCGTGCGCAACAAACTTTTGGCTCCTAAACCTCATGTCTGATATCTATGGGTGTCTATTTCTGGAAGGTTTATTCTTTTTTGCAAAAAAACACTATAGCATAACAAAAATGTGAATAATTATATGTTGGTAACCAGAAAAAGGGACATTTCTCCTTTTTTATAGAGTGTCCTGTTTTAATGTTAAACAATTTTTGTTACATACATTCTTTGTAGAAGGAAGAGCATGAAATTCACTTCAAACGAGAGATGGAAGAGAAGAGCATTGTAATAGAGATTCCTGACATTTTAAAAAAGAAGCTTGAAGAGGATTGCTACTACATAAATAAACGCAAACGAGTATGTGATGTCAGAGACATGTCTTTATTAGCTTGCTGGTTCATGGATGTAGCTTGTGATGTTATGGCAGGCACTTTATTCTATTCAATTATATGTCCTAAACTAGTATAGAGAGCTGGGACCTCACAAAGAGTCCTAGGCATTTTTTTCTTCCCCCAAATTGTAAGATTGAATCTATTTTTAGTTTGGAGCACATCATTTTAGATCGCAGATCTTTGACAAATGGACACGTAGAGCCCCAGAGAAAAATGGTAGATTGGTTGCATTGTCCTGCAGGACATCAACAAACCAGAGCATGATGAGTGGGGTAACACCCTGGAGGGCATGCAGGCTGCTCTGCAGCTAGAGAAGACCGTAAACCAGGCTCTTCTGGATCTGCACAAGCTGGCCACTGACAAAGTTGACCCTCATTTGTGTGACTTTTTGGAATCTGAATATCTGGTGGAACAAGTGAAGGCTATTAAGCGTCTTGGAGATTCTCACCAACCTGAAGCGCCTTGGGGTACCCCAGAACGGCATGGCCGAGTACCTGTTTGACAAGCATAGCTGGGAGAGCGCAGCTAATCTGCTTCCCACCCATGAGGATACCAACAGTCTATTCTGCATCTACTTGCCCCTTTATGTGTGGGATTATTGTGACATCATGTAAGCCAAGGCCCTTATATCTTCTTTGATTCTATTAATTATGCAGCTGTTGCTATGCTTGTCAGCATGTTTCCAATAAAGTCTTTAAACATAAAAAAAAACTGGTAGAACTCCTGTAGTGAGGAAACGTTAAACAAAACCCGAGGTTCCACCCCTTTTAAATTACAAAACTAAACAGTGTTAACGTTTTTTACATTGATGTATTGTTTGCATGTTTTGTTCAGTGTGATTTTTTTTTTTTTTCTCCGTACTAAGTTCTCCTTACTTCTGTTTTAGCTGGTCAAACTGCCTTGTCAGACCAACATCATCACCATTCTGGAGTCGTACGTGAAACACTTTGCAATTAATGCAGCTTTTTCAGCTAATGATAGAATAAGGCATCACCAGACCACTTCCAATGTCAACATGAATGTACATTATATTCCACCAGAGAAAAAGTAAGCTCTATAGTATGTTCTTTGAATGTATTTCAAAGTTCAATCATTTGTTGGTAACCAGGTAAATGTATGCCAAGATAGTTAGCAATGCAAATGCAATCTTCCTGTCATAACCTGGCTGTGGGTTTGAGTATACACTACTGAGCTGTGTAGCATCCCAAATGTAAAAATTGCAATCCTGTATATTTTGCAGTATATGTAAATGTAGCTTTTTCAGCAATAGATCCCATAATGCTGTGCAGTCCTCTGAAATGGATACTCTTGTCCTCAAAGCTTATATATGGTACCATTATTATATCTGAAATATGTGCAGTAATAACTTTTTTTTCTTATAGCGTGGAACTTTGTAAAGAAATGGTTGATGGCTTACGAATTACATTTGACTTCACCCTTCCGCTTATACTTCTGTATCCCTATGAGCAAGTACAGTATAAGAAAGTGACATCATCTAAATTTTTTCTTCCCATAAAAGAAGTGATATCCTCTGGGAACAGGTACATCTTCAAAAACATTTTTACTTTTACATTTGCTCTATTAGGTTACTTTTTTTTAACACCTAATGTGTGTATATAATACAAATATGTACACTGTATATTACGACGTGTTTTATTTTTTTTTTTACTGTTTTTCTCTAGGAATCAGGAGGAAGTATCACCAAGCCCTCCACTCTTAAACCCTCCAACTCCTCAATCCACAGATAGCCAGCCTACGACTGGAGAATCCACCACCCCTAAAAGGCGGAGGACTGAACCAGATATTTTACAATCTTTAAGACGCTCGGCTCGTCACAGTACTAGCTGTGATAGGATGTCAGAAAGCAGCGCATCTCCGCAACCCAAACGTCGCCATGCTGAGACTCCAACATCAATGCCAAAATTGTTTCTTCATTTGGAAAAGAGTATGGTTCCCTTGTTTTATTTTACCTTTTTTTTTTTTTTTTTTGTTTCATGTGCTATGTGGGTTTTTAAATATACACAAACCTCCTTTAAAAGTAAAAGATTTAAGTATGTAAATCTGTGACAATTGCTTTTAGCCAAAAGTGTAGAAAAGTTGGATGTCACTGGGTCCATGCAGATAAAATGGTTTTATGGAAAAGTGTAAAGCTGTAAAAGGAGTAGTGGTAAGAATAAGTTGCCTTTTCCACACTGTCTCCCTAACGTTTAAGAAGATGGCATGCTGGATAAATGTAATTTGTTTTATGCATTTGCTTTTTTAGAGGCTTATTTGCCTATACAGCATATCCTGGGGAACATTGCCTGAAATATAGCTACTTGTTGTTGTTCCTGGGGGAAAGAACAAACCTTTTATATAGGAATGCACTGAAATTTTGGCAGCCAGAAATGGTACTTTGGGCAAAATGCTGAGAGTACCCTTACAAGCGAAAATGCGACCGAAAATTCAATGCATCCTGACTGCTTCCTGACTGCTTCTCTTCTCCCCACTGAGCCCCCGCCTGTATCGACCGAGGCAGCAGGGATCCAAGGGGACACAGACCGGCACCCAGCAGGAAGGAGAAAGGTTTTAGGAGGCCAAGCGGGGAGGAGACAGCTCAGGATGCCAAGCAGGGCAGTGTGGGCCAGAGACAGCTGTCACTGAAGGGCGAACTCTCCTACCACGCTTGGCTCCTGTGACAGATGGGAGAGTCAGGATGGAGAGCAGGGAGCAGTAAGCTGTCAGGAGGCTGAACTCTTCTCCCGCACCACCCCACTCAGCCTCCTGTGACGGGTGAGTCAGGATGGAGAGGTGTACAAGCAGTCGGCGATCAGCTGGTCGCTGAGTGTTTGTACCCAACTGAAGACACAGTATGCTAACTGCGTCCCCAGTTATGAACAGGAAGTGCTCTATATCACTTCCTGTTCGTTTATGATTGTGGACATAGTAACTCATACTTTATCTACAGTTTATGAATGAACAGGAACATTCAGTATAGAGGCTTTCTGTTTATTCATAACAGGGGCTGCAGAAAGAGATTTAGGACTCTGTATCAATTATTTTTCTTTTTTTAAAATGGAAATCTCAGGGGTCTGTTTCCAGAGCCTCCGACGGTAAAGTAAATAAAAATAAAATAATTAAAAAGGTTGGGGAAAAAGTCATTTTCAGTTCGGCCTGACCAAATTGTTTAATTTTGGTTTTGGTCTAAACATTCCATGCCCGTGCATCTCTGCTTTTTTTTATGTTACATTTAACAAAGTAATTGTTTGGATTTTTAAAAATATATAATTTTTTTTTTTTTTTAAAGCAAGGTATGCTTGAATTTGTGTCCTAACTGCATAAGGAGGTT